CTATACCTATTTTGAATCACCCTGTATACCGCTGAAAATCGCGGTGGTATACTGCACGGGGAGAGAATTTTCTTTTACAATTTACCCTGAAATTCATGTAATCGTGGAACAACGTGGCATTTTGAGGGATTTTATGAGAGCTTTTTGAAATTTTACATATTCTACTAGTAATTATACTTAGTGTACATTTTACTAATAGAATGTTTGGTAAAATTTCGAAAAACTCTCATACGGTTCTTGAAAATGCCATGTTGTCCCACGATTACACGATTTTCGGGGTAAATTTTAAGAGAAAATTCTCTCCCCCCGGGTGTAAATCAGCGACTATTCACTGTTTTCAGTGAAAATCCACTGATTGACTTTCAGAGAGTGGGATCTTATTCTTGAAAAATATCGTATACAATATTTTTCAAGATTATCGTATGCAATATTTTTCAAGAATAAGATCCCACTCTCTGAAAGTCAATCAGTGTGGATTTTCACTGAAAATACCTAGTGAATAGTCGCTGATTTACGCTCGGAGAGAATTTTCTCTTAAAATTTACCCTGAAAATCGTGGGACAACATGGCATTTTCAAGAACTGTATAAGAGTTCTTCGAAATTTTACCATACATTCGATTAGTAAAATATACCTTTTTAGAAAAAAGGCCAAGTATACGCGTAGAAAGAAGCAATACATAATGTGTAAAATTTTGGTTAAAAAGTATTCAAATCTATCTTCTCTCCAAAAGAAATGATATAAAACAATTGCACCAGCTATAAAAATCGTATTAAAATGTTACGTCCAATGATAATAGAATACGATTTTATGTAGTAAAGGTTTTGATACCATACATTCTATTAGTAAAATGTATACTAAGTATAATTACTAGCTGGTGTCGCAAGTTCGCGATGCATACAGGGTGCTCAACAACGAGAGCCGGCGTCACGCCAGTGCGTTGATTCCCGCGACAGAGAGGTAAAATAGTGTAGCACGCCTTTATTTAAAATAAAAGGCGCATTGAAACACGGATTCGCCGGGTCGGCCAGCCGAGCAGCGAGAGGTAAAACGGGGGAGAGGAGCCTAAGCGCGTACAGTGCCTTTCCGTGTGTGAGAAGGCGGGTTAATGTCGCTTCTCACAGGGCGTTCGCGTGCAAGCCGCGTGTGTGCCGCACGTGTGCGCGAGCGCGCGGTTTACGAGCCGCGTATATACGTGCGTCAGGTGTCGCGCGCACGGCTACCAGCGCGCGGGGCGACGCGGCGAGGCGAGCAAAAGCGAAACGAAGGGGGCACACACAACCATCTTAGATAGCATCGTCATAAAGAGGGGTGCAACTGCCGCCAGAGCGGGCAGGTGCATCGCCGTCGCCGTCGCCGTCGCTGCGCTTGTTCTACGGCGTAGAACGAGGGACGGCACTTTGCGGCACTCAAGCGCTGGCTCTCGCTGCAATCGCGAGATATAACGATATCGGGAAACGGCATCGTCCACCGATATCGTTGCATCTCGCGGTTGCAGCCCGATGCATTTTAATTGGCGGAGTTTTAATTCGTCCGAGACGCCGCGTCGATAATGGACGAGCGTTGACGCGACGCCCGATACGCGTTCGCAGTGGATTTTGACGGACGGTGGCCTCGTACTTTTGAATATCGTCTAAATTGCGCGTAGCCCAAAGATAGGCCCGTCCCGCCGACGCCGTGCGAATGCGTGACGGACGAACCGAGCGGTGCGGCGTCTCGGGTGCGAAGATCTATTGAGAATTCACGTGCCAACGGCGCAACCGCGGCCACGCGAGTGGAATTTCAAAGGGGCGAGGTTTCGCAGGAACGACGTCGTCCCGGGCTCTGTGCGTACAATCGACTCGCGGCCCGCGATATATCGCGCGCGCGCGCGCGCGACGCATCTCGATTCGATTGTTGGCGAAAGAAATTCGTTCGATTATTTTCGCGTACTGGAGCGGAAAAGAGTAATGTACCCTATTACGAGATATGCTCCTAATGTGAGCCAGCGGAGACTCTGCTAAATTAATAGACGTCGTCTGTTGGTTTCGTCATGAATTTATTGCCCTTGGAGTGAAATCTGTTTAGTGGAAAATTGTTTGTTAGATCGCGCAGTCGACGCGAAAAAAAGACTCGCGAGTGAATTTGGACGTTGAAAACCTACTATCTCGCATTAGAATCTTATCTCATAACAGAGGACTTTCCTCTGTATCAAGACCTTTATGCCTTTTTAACGACGATCAGGTGAGATTTCTCGCTGTGAAAATATATCGCGCGAGAGAAGCTTCACGCTTGCTTTCGAAGGAGACAATATTCAATTTGAGAAAAGACGAATTTGACGACGTAACAACTTGCACTAATGCCACAATGTACAAAAATCTCAGTTATAAAAACTTTTCTTAATCTTCTCATATGTTTTCCTGAATTAATAGGCACTAAAAAAGAAATAAGTTTCTCACTTTCATCTTACTTTTATGAATATATGAATTATACATGAACTATGCAAATACGACACACTTGCATTGTTTTCGCATCGCACATAATTTTTTTGACGTAGAAATTGCAGTTTGCCCAAGGGTAAACACGCGAGGCTCCGTTTGATAAAATTATTATTAAAATTAGACCTTGGCGTAAGTAAGTGTTGATTCCAGGACAAGACATGTGCGACGCAAAGAAATAAATCTGGGACTTGAGCGCATAAGAATCCGAGCTGATATATCCAGCTTCTAGGATCGCTCTTAGATTTCGCGTCTATTCTACGTAGCTTTATATGACCACATTGCGTTATAAATCAGAACGGTCG